TGGTTTAGCAGGGGTCTAATGTTAACCTTGCTTTTCCTTCAGCTCCCCACATATCTAAAAAAGGACTTTTTATTGTCTTTGATACATGTAGCCAGTTGGAGTTCAGTCACAGCCTTGGCTTTCCTGGCTCACTCCCTACAGGTCCAGACCAGTGCAGAGTACTCCGCCTTTGAGGTGGTTCCAGTCTTCCATCCTTTACAGGACTTTCTTTTTAGACCCAGGAGGGCCACAAGTTCCCTGCAGAGCCAAGGGGCTGCTGTGCCCTTCTGGGGCCTTTCCTCAGAGATGAGATAGACATTGCTTGTGTTTCCAGGATTGCTCCCTTGAGGAGAAACCACTCATCCTGAACTCCCTTCCCCTTCAGATCATAGTCCCTTACGGCCTCACCAACAAGTCTCCTGAGCTTGTCAAAACTTGTCAAAGTTCTTAGTATCCAGTCTCAGCCTTGCTTATAATTTAATGATGCACCTTAAATCAAGGACCTAGGTGTATGCAAAACTGGCAGTTGCTCTACCTCCAACAAAGGTGAAATCCTGGCGTGTCCTGAATGGCTTTTTATCCCCCTTTTTAGTCATCCATCATATTTCACCACACACACACACACAAACACCCCCCCTCTACATCAGCTTGTGGAAATAAAAACACCCTCTGGCAAGCCCTGAAGATGAACAGATCAAAAATAACCTTCTTGAGTGCAGACAGCCCTCCCCACTCCTCCCAGGTACTTTGTTTTTCAGGTGACTGGTACCTAAGTGCATTTATACCTTTGATAATCTGGGCTGGAGTGTTTTGAATTCCAGTGGGACTCATTGCTTTGATCGTCAATGGAAGTGAAGTGAAAATCCCAGTAGGCATCTACCATTTCCAGCCAGGACTGGGGAAAGCCTAGCTGAGAACTGGAAGCCCCTTCTGAAGAGCGTTCTACCCCCAGTCCCCTCCAGCCCACAAGAGAAGCAGCTGACAAGACCAACTGATCACTGCATGGGGCAGGAGGGCACAAAGAATGAAGGGACATTTCCTGGAGGAAGATCCAAGGTGATTTAGGGATGAATAGGTCAAGATAAGGCTGAAGCGATGAGAAAGCGTGTTTTAATGTATAAGTATGGATGCTAAACACTACAACCGGCCTGTCTGAAGCTCAGTGCTGCCTCCCTACAGGTACAGAAAAGACTTTATATTCTACCACATCATTTAAGATACAGCTTGTGGCCATGGTGTGTTCCAGTACCTAGGGGCTCCTGCAAACCTAACTCATACCATCCAGAAACCTGAAAAACCAAACTGCCTTTGCTGGGCACCTTTGCCTGCTAGGTCTGAAGCTGAGATAATAATGTTATTAGATCCGGAACTAAGAGAGACAAGGAATTATCCTGGGAAAGCCGGCAATGACAAAGTCAGCTGCATCTCTGAAGTATGTTTTGGCTCTTCCTCACTCCTGAGGCACCTCAGCAATAATTTGGATCCTTCCCTTGTGGTTGTGAATCAAACAACATGTTCTAGCACCAGTCATTTCCCTCTTTCTGCTGGGCCCAATCCAGGCCAGTCAGGTAGACCAGTCCAGCGGCTCTGCTGGCTGATGTGAAGGCAGGTTCTATTGACCGCTGGGTAAGGAAGCCCTCACCAGAGTCCTTCAGCTCTCAACGGCTGCTGGCCACAATGCATCATCTCTGCCTACCTCTTGCTAGCGAACACTGCTTCAGCGCTGCACAAAAGGTTCAAAGAGGAAAAGCCATCATTTAACCTTAACAGAAGCCCTAGTACTTCATTGTGAACTCATACTATGCATCCCACTGTGACTTGCTTTCTCCAGGCACTGCTTCCCAACCAGGCCACACTTCTGTTTGGTCAGGGTGACCCCTTGCTCCTGACCCATTTCTTACCATTCTTTTGTCCCTTGCTTACCTGACAGAGATAATAGCATTTGATTACTTCAGCCCTAGATTCAAAGCAGGAGGGCTTCTGAGTGTATAGATTCATAGCTTCATAGATGTTAGGGTCAGAAGGGACCTCAGTAGGTCCTTGAGTCTGACACCCTGCCCTGGGCAGGAAAGAGCGCCGGGGTCAGACAACCCCAGCCAGGTGCTTGTCCAGTCTCCTCTTGAAGACCCCCAAGGTACAGGAGAGCACCACCTCCCTTGGAAGCCCCTTCCAGATTCTGGCAACCTTTACTGTGAAGAAGTTCTTTCTAATGATCTAGCAACACAGCTTTTCAATGAAATGCAGAGAAGAATGCAGGAGAGTCTAAGCCAGTGGTTAGGGTGCCTGGCCTGACTTTCCCCATATACTGAGATATGCCCTGGAGATCCCAGGAGAACATCTCTGTAAGCAGGGAAAACTGGGTAGGCATCCCCAGGGCTTGAGGGGCATGATCCTGCCTGGAAATTCCTTGAGTGAGCACCTACCTGGAGTGGCTGGAGAGCACAGGCAGGTCCAAGCTGCCAGCACTCTCACGTATAAAGTGAACAGCCATGTGCCACTAAATAGTGATACAAATTGATACCACCTTTGCCACAGCCACTATCTGTGGCACATCTAGAGTCATGCATGTCTGTTTGCTTGGCCTCTGAGCCATCATCAGTTTTTTATTGTGGTACAAAGACAGCATCTGTTTCCACCCTTAGATGTTCATATTTGCCCCTATAATAGAAAAGTATATTTAATTCTTCTCTTGAACTGGGCAATTATAAAGAATGAAACTAAAATCAAAACACCCCCCGGCATCCTTCATTTGTTGCTTTCTATGTATTTTTCAGCTGAATCAATATCTGCTTTCCTGCCCACTACCCCAAGACTCATGCTGGCTGTAAAATAATGCTAAAAATAGTAGCCTAGTAGGCAAGTGGTGCTCAGCCTCCAGCCCACAGGCCAGATCCATCCCACAGAGCCATGTCATCTGGCTCATGGGGCTCCTCACGGGTTCACAGATTTGGTGTTGTAGGGAATAGTGGCAACATAAATTGCCACTACCCTGCTGTCAAATTTGCGTACCTGTGAGGAACCCTATGACTCCTGCATGCTAGTTTGTTAGGGGGCCAGTGTGTGGGGGTCACTCTGTGGCCCGATGCAGCAAGCAGGGTTGGGCCAGAGTGCGGGGTTGGACCAGCACATGGCTGGATCCAGTGCACAGGCTCAGGCCAATTGCCACTCTTCTGTCCTACAGAGCTGAAAGGATGAATCTAGATGTATATAGAAGTTTCTTTGTGTATCGTCATAGGCATAAAATAGAATTACATATCCTACATACTACATATATTACATACAATTCATTGTATCTGTCTATCCATCTATCTACCACCATCTGATATATATCTATTCTATTATATATCTTACATATATTATATATATCCTAAATATTATATGTGTATGATAGGATTACATGTAGATATATGTAATACGTAGGATATATAATAAAATATCTATCTATCTATTTGTATAGAAATAGATATATATAGATCTATATATATATATAATATAAATATAGATAGATGGATAGATAGCTAGACAGACAGATAAAATTAATTGCAATCCTAAAGACCAGAAAAATGGAGACATATAAGTTACTATTAGAAGGCTGTGCATTCTGCTTCACCCAAATCCTGCAGTGATGACTCAGACTCAGTATCACTAATTTCTGCCAATTTACAAGGGAATTTTCCTCTAATGGAATACTTGGATACTGTCCTTCTTTATGCAGAACCTGCACTGATGTGTAGAAAGAGTTTGGCCTGAGAAAGGGACTGAATGAGGAACGTGGGGTGAGCGTTTGGAAGTGTGGAAAATGTTTGTAAGGTGGGCCAGCCAGGCTATGGTTAGTATGGGAATCCCCAGAGACTGGAAAAGGAAAATTGCTGAACAGAAAGGTAGTCTTTCCTAGGACCAAATTCTACTCTGTGGATATGTCTACACATGCACATTTACTGCGCAGTAACCTAAATTACTGCATAGGATGGGTACACATCTACACATGCACATTTTCTGTGCAGTAACTGTGGTGACTTATACCAGCTTGGGTGTAAAATTGATACCGGCATGATGCAGGTATCAGATTAACTCCTGATTAGTTACTGCACAAGAATGCATGTGTAGATGCTTACTGCACAGTAGCACTGTGTGTGTAGACTGATTTAGGACTAAGTTTAGTCCCAAGTCAGACCACACACAATGTTAATGCACTTTAACACCTGCACATGTAGACACCGGCCTATTTCCATGTACTGTGTAGTAACTTACTGCACAGTAAATTTACTGTGACATAAGTGCACATGTAGACTGCTCAGTGTTACCCTCCAGCAAGCTCAGGGAAGTCTGAGTAATCGCAGATATCCTCTCAGGGCACCTCTGAACATGCATAGGGTAGAGGTAGCTGAGATGGTTTGAAATGAGCCAGCTGACATATTAGAAGCAGTTAAAACACAGCAGCATGGAGCTTCACGCAGGGTAATTTACCTTGTCAGAGAAAACTGCTTCCCATACTTGAGCTCAGCTCAAGCTAACTCGGCTTGCAGTGGAGACGCACCCTCGGATGCAGAGCTATATAGCCAGGGTCACCGGAGTGAAGGAGTCTGGCTTTTCACATGTAGCACAGCGCCACTCCAGCTCTTCACCAGCCTTTCTTTTCTTTTTCAATTCCAGGTTGCATCTTCTAAGCTCCTTGAAGTTTCCTCTAGTACTTCAGGGACAAACGGCCTTTATCAGAGCACAGATTCGACAAAGCAGCCAGGCAGAGAAGCAAAGGAGAAACTCCTCAGGTTGATCACTCGGGAGCCAAGCACGAGCCTTTAGTAAAAGTGTTTTATGGCATGAATAGTTAAGGTGAGGAAAAGGAAAACTTTCTAAAAGCCTGATTTGTTATTACCCTCCCAGACTGTCCTGGATTTGTTTAATATTCAATAGCAGCCAGCCTCTCATCCCCTCTAGGGAGTGACTATGTCCGGTCAATGTTTAACTGGCCTCACCAAATCTGGACTTAGAAGGGAAGGGCTTCTGGAGGAATATCCAAGGTAACCAGCCACTCGGGCTGCAATGTGTGTGGTGTTGGTTCAGGTAAGATGCCCTAGAAAGAGCCTAGAGGCTTTGCAAACACGGGCGCAGCATGAAAGCCACAGATCAGCGTTGAGGCCAAGTTCAAGGACGACTGCAGGGAAGCAGTTTCTTCCACCGAATGCTGTAACTCAGTAAAATGGGCCTGAGCCACTCCAAGACACGCCCCAAGGTGACAAAAGTGGCACCGGTGCAAACCAAAGAAGCTGTGCCAGCCTCCCCTTGCTCTGCGACCCTGTCTCGATTTCACGGCGTTCTGGAAGAGAGGAGCTTGGGCTCCTTCGCAGCCATGGAGGAGAGAAGCCCCATGCTTCAAAGACAGCTCCCGCCTCTGAGAGAAACGTGGTATGGGAGATGCTCCACAGGTGAGTTGGCCAGGGGCAAGTGGATTGACCGATCTTTTGTACTCGGTGTTGGAACACTTTCCACTGCCAAAATCAAAAGTGGCTCAGAAGAGAGAGGTTGAGTTTTGTCTAAAAGCCAGTGGTAGAAGGTGTTGCTAGATAGACCTGGGTGTGTGCAATTGTGCTGTTCTGTGAGTGTGCCTGTTTCTTCCACTTCCTGAATATTGCTGTGTTTTGGGTTTGTTTTAAAGAAGTGCCTCATATCTGAACAGCCCAGATCAGGTATCTCAACTTGTTCCTGTGAGCTATCTTGACGCACCAAATAGTCCTGTTCACCTTGACTTCAGTGGGACGACCTATGCAAATTGCAGAAGGGGGCCTGAAGTATCTTTTGATAGCAAGCCTTTAACACAGGACCATACATCTGTATTGTGTGTGGCTGTGCATCATGGCATGATCCACATATATCCTGAAATAACGATGTTAATTAACATCAGGGTTTGGGGCAAGATCCTCACTAGTGTAAGACAGTGTAATGATGAGTAATCAGCCACGGCAGATCTCAAAGCACTTGACAAAGGAAGTGAGGGTCATTATGGAGCTAAGCTGATTTACACTGGCTAAGGAGCAACCCATGGTGTGCAACATAATGGAGCAAAACTGGGAGCATTGCCTTGCATAATTAAATAATATACCATACAATGGCCTCACCCTGACACACATCATGAGAAAAGAGAGGGAGCTCTTGCAATTCTTATAGGAATTACTTACCCGTAGAAGAATAATTCAGATGAAACAGAGCTCCCAGGAGCTGGTTTCTAAAAGTGAGTTGCAGAGATTCAACTAACAATATTAACCATCACTGGTATAACTTGGCTTGGGAGCTGGACGTTTCTCCTTCACATCTTCCAGACAGATCACTACCTTACCATGAAAACAAATATGCCCCCTACCTCCTGAATTCAGGAGCAGGAGGGTCTGGATTGAATACAGATTAGCTCTGGATATACAGCCTGACATTTAGAGTGCTTTATGACAGTAACGCACTTAAATAAACATTCCAGTTCAGCGAGATGATAAGCACTGGGTTTTTATTGAGCGTAGTTTTTAAAAAAATCATCTCCGTAAATGTCATTTGTTATTACCAGTGCTGTTTTTCAAATAAGAAGAGAAGGGAATCACACTTGAATGATGAATTAGCCCGAGCCACATCTAAATAAGTGCATGCTAGTTGCAGAGAAGGTCTTATTTAGTGTATGGGGGTGTGTTTGAGCTTGGGTTAAATTTGACTTTCTGTGACTGAGCAAAGTATGTTAATATGAAAAACTAGGGGGAAAAAAGTCTTAGAGATTTCCTAAATGTGGGTCTCCAATTTTCTTGAAGCAAAATCCTTGAGTTATAGCTCTATATAGGAAGCCAAGCTGAGATTTGGGGTTTTTGTGTTTAGTATTGTCTAAACATGTAGGCATGGTCCCTTTCCTAAGCAGCTCACACACTAAATAGACTTAGGTGGTAAGTGCTCTGGTGCCTATGCTTGCTTTTTCCTCCTGTGTTAGTACAGTGCCTAGCACAAGGGGGGCCGGCCTGTGAGCAGGGCTCCTAGCAGTTATAGGAGCACAAATAAATAATAATAGAGGAGGGATAAAGAGTTAAGTTTCTCCAAGGTCAGATCAATGGTAGAACTGGGACAGAACCCACATCGCCTGAGCCCCAGCCCATGCCTCTGCACTGCAGTTATGCTGTGCGTAATATTTTAATAAGTAAAATATAAAACAGCAGTTTATTAATTATCAGATAGGGTTTGGGTGCCAGCTTGCCCGGCCGAGTTAAGAACAGAGTTCCAATTTTTCATTTGTAAGATGGCTTTTTTGGGGTGTGCTTACTAACAGCTAACCAGTCTCTCTTGGAAGTCAGCTGTTTTAGAATTGCTAACTAAAACTTATTAAGATAAGCAAATGCATTTACTTCCTCGTTTGTTAAATAGTTGTTAGAGCTTAATCCTGTATTCAGTAGTTAATCATTGTATGCACGTCCAGCAGAGCTAAGTGAATCATTTATCAAATAAATTTAAGCCTCTTTCCCTGTCACATAAGACCTGTGAGCAGATCACAGATTCCTCAAATGGATTTGTTATTCATACATGAACAATACATCTTCTTTAGACCTAATGTTGCTAAGAAATGTCTACGACCGCTCCCTGGAGAACTGGCTTTTTCAAGGCTGATTTCATTCCTATTGAAAGCAATAGAATGACTTTGATAGGAATTGGATAGAGATCTTGGCTAACTGTGATTTGTCAAGAGGATTACATGGCTTTGTTTCTGTTGCCCAAATGAGTGGAGAAGTCCTTCTAGCATAGATATTTGAAAATGACTACTTAAATGTTGTTTCCATCGCTATGGGTGAATAGTTTTCCACATTCACTTGCAGCACTAAAAGATGAGGGCAGCAATGCCTGTGTGAGAAGCACTTACACACAATGAATGCAGATATTGGCTGCATTCACTGAAAAATGTGAGCAAATATTTAGAGACTGTGCTCAGCCTGCTGTAGTGTCCAGTGCAGGTGGTTTTTTCCCCACGTGCTGTGGGATTTGGGGAGGCTAGGCTGTGGTAGGTCAGGTAGAACTGTAACTAGAAGATCATGAAGCTTTTACTTAGTATGACCAAAATGTTAATGATCAATATGATATTGAATTCAAGATGTTTTATTCAAGCTTCTTTTCCTTTTCTGTTCCCTTAAGTGCCGAGGCCCATTGCCTTTGACATCATGCCGGAAAAGGGAGAAACCAGTATTATTAAACAGCATCCCCCTCGAAGACCTCAAGTAAGATGAATTTTAAAGGCTTCCTAAGGAAATGCTTGGATTTAATGGTAACCTCCCATTTTAACTGTAAACATATGAAGGGGGTATATTGAGTTTTAACTGTGTTCACACATAGGAAAGACATCACAATGCAGTATTATTGGCAAGATAATATCCCAGAGATGCATTGGCCCTTACTTCTGGGGGGGGTAGACATATGAACAACCTACTGTTGGCACTGGATTTATGACCCACATACCTTGTTCTGGGTGGACCCAAAACCCTCAGACTGATCACAACCTTTCCATTCAATAATAGGCAACTTTTATTGATACACAGTGGCAGCAGATAAGAATAATGCAAACACTTCTATACCTACCAGTCCTAGAGCTGCATAGAGTCAAGGTACATCTAGCCAGTACGTGAGTTTCACTCTGAGGTTATCTCTTGAATGTCAGATATCAACAGCTCGGAGGTTGGAGGTTGAGGCCTACCCGCCTCAGTGGGGTGGGTGAGATGGGTTGGTGGTATGCCCTCTGTCCATGGTGGCCTCCAATTCCCCTTTCGGGGACCCTTTGCAGCTCTGAAATCCCTTCTTTTGTATTCTTTTTCCCTCCTGATGACTCTTCATTTCTGGCCATAGCTGATTGGTCTCTCAGTGGTCATCATGCTGTCCACATTCTGTGCTGTCAGCATAATCCTTTGTTTCACAAACCCATCACATGCACTCATCCCAATTTGGGCTTTACTGATCTTCTAACTTGGTCTGTTCCCTCAAAACCAGAAATCCCAAGGGCTCTGCAGCTGGGCACTGTGACCTGGTGCCACCTTATCTCATGTTACGGACAGTGTGGGACATGCCTTCGACTTCCCAACCTGAGTGTCTGCTTGCTGTTTGCCTGCAGACCAGTGGGCCTTGAGGACACTTTCAGAAATAGGCTTTTTTAGAAATCAGTTAACCCTTGCTGTTGCCCTGGACCATCATTCTAATGCGTATCTACTTCACCTATAAGCCAATTCCCAAAAGCAAACCTCTAAATACCATTTTCTAGCCATCACCTACCACCTGATAAAAGGGGCCAGGGATTCACTGTGCTACCCATGAAGATGTTCTAAAACAATGGTGAAGTGGAAGGCTTGTCAGCAGTCAGTAACGGAGGGATTAAAATAGGTTTAACCTCCTGTTTTTGTGGGATAAGAGGGCACACACAAGCAGTTATTATGGAGAGATTGGGGCCTAGTAAAGCCCCATCCCTTTTACCTCATGGTGAGTGGTTGGTGTGTTAAAACTCATCCTCATGTAAAATTATTTTATTTTTATAAAGAGATGGGACTTGATTTTAATCTGGCTGTATAACAGTATAATACCACTGTCTTCTGGGGATTTAGTTACTTCTGCTGCACACTGGTATAATAGAAACTGTCCAGACTTTGCAAAGCTGCTGATCAGGCTATTTAAGAACACGCTGCCTCTATCTACCTGTCCTTCTGCAAGTGTCTGCACCCCTGCTCTCGATCAGATAGGACCTCAGAGCTGCTTGGGGTATAAGGTCATGTCATTTTCTAGTGGTTAACCACAGGAAGAGGGGTGCCCTCATGCTGCCCACTAGCATGCCTTTTCTGTCCATCTTCTTAAGTGGCCTCATCACTGCCGTATTTCAGCACCTGCCCTGAGGGGCAGGGAAGTCAAAGTCCAAAGTCCATCCCAAGCCTAGTGACCCATCAGGCCTATGTAGTTAAGACAAGCCATTTCCTGTAGCCAACAACACACAAAAGAGTCTTGCAGCCAGAAACGTAACCAGGTACCCTTGACTCCCCAGCATGAACAATCAAATGCACATTTAAAGCTGGGCTGACTGAGGGTAGCCTCCCTTGCAAGTCCAGAAACTTGTAGGAGAGACGGGACTGAATTCAGTACAGTTCACATCTGTACTGAGACACCTTCACTAATTTGCCACCTTGCACTAGCTCCGTTTTCTGGATGGAAATGGAGTCACCCATGATCAGTGTCTTGCTCCGTCAGGCACTAAAGCTGCAGCTAAAGTGGGAACAGAAACCAGGTCCTGCAGTTCCCCATTAGTTCCATGCTAGTACATGAGTTACGCAGGCCAGCCTTCCTGCCTTATTGGGATTAGAACTGTGTGTGTGTGTGTGTAGCTATATATATATCTATATATATATGCACACACACACACACACACACATACATACATACATATATATATGTACACATATACATATACATATGCATACATATACATATACATATGTGTGTGTGTATCAATATATATAGAGATATATACACAAAGTGTGTGTGTGTACTTATATCTATATATATACACATATATATGTGCATGCATATATATATGTGCATGCATATATATATATATAGATACACACACACATCCATCCATCTATATATATATATGTATATATGTATGTATGTATGTATATATACTTATACATACATATATATACATATACATATATACACACACACACACAGACATACATATACATACACACGCACAGACGCGCATGAGCGTGCGCGCGCGCACACACACACACACACACACACACACATATACTTAGTATTTCATGGGTGAAGATTACTGCATCCAGCATGGGGAAGGGAGGGAAGAAGACAGAAAAGAAGTGGGAAAGAAAAAAGAGAAGGATAAAAGAGAAAAGGAGAAAAAAGGGAAAGGGAAGAGAACGAAGTGGGGTGGCGGCTAGGTCATGTGAGTATGTAGGTGACTTATAAGTCTGATCTTTGCTTTGAACAATCTGCTGCAGCAGGAGCAGGAGAGTGGCGAGGACTGGATAGGGAGGTTTTTGAGTTCCTGGCTGCACGTTTCTTCATTGCTTCTGCCGGGCATTGCTATTCCAAGGCCAATGCTCTGGTCTGGATTTGGGACCTCCAGGATGGACGGTTGTGAGCGAATTGCTACCACATCTCTGGGTTGATGCTGAAACTCTTTAGGGACACCTTTAGGGTGTCCTTGTACCACTTTTTTGGTGTGCTGAGAAAGCAGACTGTTTGATTCACTAAGAATCAGTGCAAACCCAAAGACTTTTTTTTAACGGTAAAAACAAGTTTAATTTCCCTAGTGAAAGCAAGATGCCATGCGGCAGTCAAATTCAATATTTCTGAAGCTACCAGAGCTCCCAATAAACAAAACAAAACAAAGAAGTTCTGCTAAATTCTGCATTTTCCCGTTTTATTAGCCAAAGCTTTGACTCTGCACGTTGCTATTATACTGCTGGTTCGATTTGGTGAAACCTTGCCTCAGCGTCAAAAGAGAACGTTACCATATTCTCTAGCCTATTGCACACCCTCAAACAAGACATGCACCTTGTTTCTGGGCAATGAGGAAAAAGAGCCTTCCAGAGTCACAGCCAACTACGTGACATGGATTAAATCCTCCTGGAAACGCAGTGTCCATGAAGTGCAGCATCTCAGGAGACAGTCTGGGTGAGGCAGTAGGGCCTTCCTGGTGTGGCAGGATGGCAACAAGGCCAGGACCCAGGCCCTTACAAGGACAGTAGCATGACTGTTGCTTCTTTACTGTAAATGGTTCATAAACCGTTGCCTTCTACATGGCAAGCCTCATCAAGGTACGGCAGACTGCATGCAGCAGCTCACTTGCCCTGAGCCAGCTCGATTGCTGCTTTAGGCACGAGCTGCAGTGTTCAGCCAGTAGCTCCTGCAGCTGTGAGAGGGTTAACACAGGACTCCTGCTGCTTGCTTGGGCCAGAGAGAGGCAGCAGCTGTCTCGGCAACAGCTGAGGACAGTGTCTGCTTGTCTCCATTCTTCCATGCTTTTATTCCCAGGCAGAAAAATCAGCTTCCCCACTTACAACACGTATCCCCGTTTTGGAAGGTGGATTGAGGAGGCCGGGGGAAGAGTGCCGTAAATACAGTATTTTGAGAGAGCACTGTTTGAATCCCACAGAAGCAACTGGTTTATGTATCTGACCGCAAACACTGCGACAGGAACCCGTGACAGCTGAAGCAAACCAGCACAGATTTCTTGCCAAAGGGTTTTGTGTGATAACTGATAACTGTCTTTAAACAGGACCAGAAATACACTGACCTGCATAAAAAACCCAACCAACCAAACAAACCTATGCACCATCCCCTGCCTCAGTTTCCTTGCTGGCCTTGAGTTTTCTTTGGGATCAGAGGGTCCAAGGTCCTTCTCTTGCACCTTCTTCTGCCCATAACTTGTCCTCTGCATATGTGCTGCCTCCTGCTCCATAAAGTTACTGGTAAGAGGCTCTCCCTTTAATGAACTTTCTCTGTCGGGTGACCCTCCTGATCACAGAATCATAGAAAATTAGGGTCGGGAGTGACCTCAGGAGGTCATTTAGTCCAACTCCCAACTCAAAGCAGGACCAGCCCCAGTCAGCTTCATCAGACCATCAAAATCCCCCACCCATGTTACCTGCTGCTTGGTTACCTGGCCACATAAGAAGGGACCACTGCAATTCAGGCTTTAGGGGATTTCAGGGAAACATAGCCTGAAATTTAGCATTTCCCCCAAACCCTTGTAAGCTGCAGGAAATGGCCTGAAACCACAGAGGAGAGGAAGGTTGGGGGAAAAAAGTTTTTAAAAATTACCTGAAACACAGAGAAGAAAGGCAGCAGAGCCCCAGAAACAAGGTGAACGCCCCATATGTTTAATAAGTGGTGAGCTTTACTTTTCTTCAAACAGCTGAAGATTAGCCTATGTGCTGCTATTCAATGGTAATCTGCCCCATGGCAGACTCCCTCAGCCAGTCAGAGGCACGGGAGAGCCTGCCCTGAAAAACGCCTGCAATTGGGTCCAGCAGACCTGCAGGGAGCTTGTTTTTCTTCTTGCCGGAGCCTGAATTACAGTGGTCCCTATGTGGAAGCAGACTCGGTCTTTTGGACAATAGCAAACTCCTTGTCAGAGTCATCCAGTTGACTCATAAAGTACCACCGAGATTTAAATGGCGCTGTATGGTTAGCTCGGTGTCATTACCGTTGGCTATTT